TGGTGTTTTAAGAAAAACATATCTTATTTTTTATCATTTACTAACTTACCTAAATTTTTTAATCTAATCAAATTAGTTAAATAGGCCTTATATTAAGGATCAGAGGAATATAATATTAACTAATTTAACTAACGTTCTTAATTTACTTAAATGAATTAATTATGTCCTATATTAAGAACTGGAAGAGTATTATTTTTCCACGTACTCTGATTATTTTTTAATTTTCAAATAAAATTAATAATCAATCCTGTTTGTTTGCAATTTTTTGGGCAAATCGCTTTAAATATTATGATGAAATCAAAATAGCTGATCGAATGGAATTTGAAATTGTGGGTACGGATTTAGACTTTGGGGATTCAAAGGAGACAAAGAGCCAATTGGTTAGTTCAACTAAACAAGCAAACCACCTTTTTACGTTACGCGTGAGGCACGCTAATTAAACAACACCTCCAGTCTTGTTTTCGTAGGAGTGTTCCCCGAAATATATAGGAAATAACGAAAATATACAACATGAAATAAAATAGTTTTGTTCTTATTGTTTAAATAAATAGTTGTGGGTTCAATTTTTCAAATCTTTTGCATGAAACAAATATAATTGAAACAGACTTGCCATTTAATTTTTCAATTTTCAAGAGAGATTAGCGTCGAAAGTGATCATTGTCGATCGTTGGATTAAATTTAATAATTAGGTTTGATAATTTTTTTAAAAAGTCCAAAAGTCCAAAAGTATCATTCATCATTCCGGTTATAAATGTTAAATAACGAGGAAAAATCACATAAAATTTGATTCCCAATAAGTCTCATTTATGGCAAAATATTGGGGGATAACATGTTCTTTTTTATCGGATATAACATAAAAATAGCACACGCTAAACATATAAATGAAACCTATCATTAATTAAATAACTTACCTTGCCGTTGGCCCAAAAAAAAAATCTTGGACTTCTATATTTTATTTTTTGGCCAAAATCTTGTACTTCTCTGTGATTCTTGCATTGCATTGAAAATTGGACCACTAACGGGTTGGGTTTCATAGAAGAGGCTAATCCCTCACAACGTAATAAATTAAGATTCGGATCCCCATTGAGAGGAGTACTCACATTCAGTGCTCAATAATGTCTTGAATAGGATTACCTCTAATAAGAAGATACTTATACCTTAGCAAAAAAAAAAAAAAAAGGACCAAACTGGCTAGGCTGGACTGGATTAGATTAGAAATTGGTTAACCGGTCACTAGGATGGCTTGGTCAACCACTGTGCACCGAAAAAATCTGACACAGGATGGCTCAAACTCTCAAAGTAACTCAGACAAACCTAGGAGTAACCCAATTAACCCGAACGGTTGGTGGGTTAACTTGGTAACCTCTTTGTCTTTTTTTTTTTTTGTTTTTAAAGCTGTCAATAATTATTACTTAGTGATTAAATTATTATAGGAAAGACTATTTTGTTATCATATATCTATTTTTATGTGTTGCTAAAATGAATATTTCGTGATTTTGATAATGTAATATTATAATTTCAATTTGCCAAAAGAATTATAAAGAAGATTAAAAAGAAATTGTAAATGTTGGATTATTTTATTAGTGATTCAAGGTACTGAATGAATATTTAACTTTTGAATGGTGTGATAAAAATTCAAATTATTTATATTTTTTTTATTTTGTATGAGGTTGACTTTGATTTAATCCAGTAACTCTTGATCTATTATCTTAACTGGTTCAGCCACATGTTGAATTTCTCTACCTTAACTTTTTGTAAAAATCACAGTTTCTGCTACCAACCGTAGTCCATAGTTAATGAGATTGATTGGTGCTCGACTTTTTGCCCAAACATGTTTATAGTCTGATTAATGAGGTCATTGCAATGACTAATCATACAATTCAAGCAATGAGCCATCTTAACATAGCTTAAACTGTTGCCTTGTAGTCTTTTGTTGATTCTCTTGGACTCCTCATTGGTGCTCCGGTGACGTACGGTGACCAATCCAGGGCTAGTAACTGGAGGTTGGGGTCAAGTTCAAAATAAAGTGTGAAATGAGGGGCTAAGTTTTATTTCCAAAATTTATACAGTCATTTTCTTTTGATAAATTTACGTAGGCATTTGTTGGTAAAAAAAAAAAAATTTATATAGGCATTTTGACTTGTTTGTATTCAAGTTGGATGAAACCTCTCAGAATAGAATCAAACTCAAAATCTTTAGGTTTTTTTATGACATAATTAATTATATTTTGATGTGGATTTGACATATCAAACAAGGTGGGGTCATCCCCACGTGTCCTTGTGATGGCTAAGCCTGAAAATGTGAGAGCCGTATGATTGTTTATAGTTGGGGCATTTCATTTTCACAATTCAATGAAGAAGCCGACAAGGTACCTTATAAGCTGCAAGCTATGTTAATTAATTAATTAAAACAGAATAAAAATATTAATTAAATTAATTAATATGATATTTTTTTTAAAATACCCTAAATATCTTTTTTAATTTTTTTTATCTCTCATTTGATTATTATTGAGCGAACATAATAAGATTAATTTAGAAAAAATTAATAAACATATATATTTTATATATAAGAGTAATATTAATTCCTACGTCTAAGCACGAGAGGAGTATATGTATGTGCAAGTTGCCTCATAGGCTACAAATGTGGGTCAAACGATTCCCTCATGCCTATACTTCATATTTTCTTCAATCAAATCACAATTTTTCTAAACACCTTTCCTAACCCATTAATTGAATCCGTCACCAACTAAATCACTTGGAAATACCAGAATTTTGTATTATTTTATGGGAAAAATTGATCAGAATTACCTCATTAAAAATTCAGAATTTATTTAAAAACTCACATGCTGCCTAATCTTTAACCGGAGCAATTTTTTTTTAGTTGTGTGTAATTATTTTCAATTGCATACAAAGCAAAGGACAAAATTGATGAGGAAACATGCATTGTAACATTCTGATTCAGTTAGAATTATAAGATTATAATTATAATTAAATAAATACAAGTACCGTATGTACTTTCATGACTACACGATAACAAAGCCAATATTAAAGACTTAAAAATAATTCCATAAAATAAATGGACAGTGACATTGCAAATTGGCCATTACTTTAGTCAAATGACAGATTAGAGGACTAAATTGCGTTTCCCGCCATAGCCCAGTTGTATCCCAAACAATGGACCAAGCCAGGACCCGAGGCTTATTAAAAATTCAATTAAATAAAAAAAGATTGATTTTAACTTTTAAATTATTCGGCCAAAAAAAAACTTTTAAATTATGATACTAATGCACAAACACTGTGAAAACACATACGTGTTTGTATCTTCTCAATATATTCCATAATTCAGAGGCACCAGTTCATGACTTGGGGCAAAAAAATTTCCTTTATACTTTTTTTTTGTTTTTAAAACAATATTATTCAAAGTTGATCTTAACTATTTGCTTTAAAATTATATTACTTTCATTAATCATTCTCAATACAAAGAAGGAGAATTACAATAAGGCTCCATAAAAAAAATAATTATTAGTAAGTTTTAATGACAAATGAGTAGTTGTTATTTCTCTTTTTGAAAATTGTCATTATAGACTGTTCTGTTGTCACTAAAAAATTTTGATAATTATATTTTTTACATGAGATTTTGTAACAATTTTCTATATGAAAAAGGTAAAAAAAAATATGACATGATAGGGTTGGATTATAAATAGAATTAAACTCGTAACTTCTCACTTATAAAAAAAAGTTATAGTATTGGATAGTGGATCATAAGACTTTGGTATAAAAACTATGATCCTAAATATAAAAATTTGTTTGTAGTGTAAATAAAATAGTTAATAATTAATACGAGCATTTGTTCAGAAACAAGATATTTTTCAAAAGACAGGGGAGGGCTCCACGTAGGTGGCTCCTGCTACTAGGTGGCACATTGCTCGGTCAATATATACAAAATTATAGTAATATAAAAAGCAGGAGTAACTTAGGGCATCGTGGGGGTTAGGTCACGTGCAAAGCACGACGTCCATGGAAAGAGGACAAAATACATTGATTTGCTGCCTTTTTTAATGGATCAGGAACAGGAAATGACTTGAGTGTTGAAGATGAAGATTCTTGAAATCATTAATCCCACGTGTAATTATGGCTTTGTGATTTCACTCGAAGATGCGACAACAACATACTTCCTCTTATGTAAAAATTAATTAACTAATTTAAATAAAATAAAAAAATTTACTAAATTAGTTATTTATAATAAATAAGTCTCATTCTTTAAAATATTTTTACTAATCAGATATATTACCTTTAATATTTAATAAAATATTTAACATGTATAATAACCATAAAAGCCATGTTGAGAAAAAATAAATAAATATAAAAAAACTAAATAAATTAAGGTTTTATATTTAAAACTAAATTAAAAATCAAACTAGCTGTGATATTACAGATGAGCGATAGTATATTACTTTTGAGGTCCCCCATTTATCATTCCAAATCTATTCTCAATACTCAATTTCCTCAGCCACCAAGACGAAAGAACTTGTATAACTTGTTTGATTCTGAGGAATTGAACCTGACATTTTACGTTTGAATACATAATGATCGAATCAATTTATGGCATATTATTATTATTATTTCATTTTTTTTTAAATGTTATTAAAGTTTAGCCCGATTTTTCCTTCTTTTAAGAAAAGCTCTACCGTATGGCAAAATCAGGGATGCTAGAGCATTTAATTTTGGAATTGATCCAAGAAACGTGCACACTTGAAATTCCCAGAGCCCTCAGTCATGTAACAGATTCAAAGAAACGACCAAAAATTTTTTAAGGTGCCCTGCCTTTTTGTTTCTGCCTAAAACTTCGCATTTCATAAAATTAAAAAAGAAAAACAAGAAGAGAGGGACAAAAACAAAACAGCCAGCACGGAGAACCAAAAGGCAAAAGGCTATTCACTTAGTCACCATCAATGGGGTCGCTGGACGCAACAACCCCTTTTCAGGATCATCTGAACCTTCTTAAGAAACAAAATGGTAACCACTGGAACTGAACTGAAGCTGTTTATATACAAATTTATCACAAGTTAAACAACTTTTAAAACTATGAAATAACAAAGATTACATACATCCAACGGTAGAGACTAGAGGCACAGCAAATTTTCCCTTTCATCCGCTTGTTCGCTGCTGAAATAATTAGGAGTTGCAGAGAAGGAAAAAAATTTTGGGGAGCTGATGAAATCACTCCTCCTCCTCCTCTTGATTGAATCCTAGCTTACTTTATTGTGCTTATGGCTTGTTTACTTCAGGGGCTTCTTTTATGCTCATATCTACCATTTCAACTGAACCAAAACCTCCATCTTCAGTGTCTATGGTGGATTGAGAATCAATGCCAGACCCAGCTTGGATTCCCTTGAACATTGCCATGACTTGAATCATTGTGGGACGCCGCCATGGTCGATCATCCAAACAAGCACAAGCAACTTTCAAGTGTTGTTGAAGCTCAGTCTCGAGACTAGGATCCTCTTTCAAGAGCTCTGGATCAAAAACTTCATTGACTTTCAGTTTGACATGTTGTTTAACCCATCCCACGAGATTATTATCGCCAAAATCTGCCGAATCTGTCGGGCGTCTCCCAGTTAGCAGCTCCAGCAAAACTACTCCATAACTATACACATCACCTTTAGTAGAGCATCTAAAACTCTGATAATATTCAGGAGGAACATAGCCAGGGGTGCCTGCTAGCGTGCTGACACTTAAATGGGTATCCACGGCACTCATAAGCCTAGCCATTCCAAAATCAGAGACTCTGGATTCCAAATTCTCATCAAGCAACACATTACTGGACTTCATGTCTCGATGAATGATGTGTGGGATGCAATTGTGATGAAGAAAAGCCAATCCCCTGGCAGCCCCAATCGCAATTTTCCTTCTTACAGCCCAGTTCAGCTTGACCCCAGCTTTCTTCCGCTCGTGCAAAACATCTTCTAGACTTCCATATTTCATGAATTCATAAACCAGGAGTCTTTCTTCCCCAACCTTGCAGTAACCCAGAAGGGGAACTAGGTTGCGATGCTTGATTTTCCCAATGGTTTCCATTTCAGCTGTGAATTCCCTGTCACCTTGACCACTAATAGGTATCAGTTTCTTGATAGCCACAACAATTCCATCCTTCAGTTGAGCCTTGTAGACATCACCAAAACCACCAGAACCAATAAGACTGTCATTGTGAAAGCCGTTAGTAGCTTCAAGGAGATCTGCAAAGGTAAGTTTTCGGATGGGCTTCTCAAATGCTGAAAGGTTTATGCTAAGTGCTTCACGGGGCGTAAGCTTCCAGTTTGTATTGTTGCCTGTGCCTGAATGAGAATTGTTGTCCATGTAGGCATCTAGAGCAGCTTCCTTCTTCTTCCTCCTCTTTCTGGTCTCTAGGGCAATTATAAGTACACCAAAGATGCAGAAGAGGGAGAATAGCAATCCCATAGCCAAACTACCTGCAAGAGATGCTTGCCTCCTGCGAGATTTCTGATGTTGAGCATCTGAACTTGATCCTGGGCGTGTCCCACATGGAGCAAGAGGGAATCCGCAGAGACCAGAATTATTCGCGAAACTGCTGGGAGAGAAGGTTCCAAATTGAGCAGAGTCAGGAATCACTCCCGATAGAAAGTTGTTTGACAGGTCAATTTCAGAGAGCATGGAAGGGCCGGTCAAAGACGGTGGAATTTGTCCTTCAAGCCTATTCCATGAGAGATCAAGTATGTCCAGTTTTATTGCCTTCCCAAGCTCTTCGGGAATATTTCCAGATAGGTTGTTGTGACCCAAATTCAAAATGTCTACATAATACAAGCTCCCAATCTCCTTCGGTATACTACCTGACAGCATATTGTATGAAAGATCCAAAAAAATCATCGACCCATTATTACTAAACGTAGGTTGGAGATTGCCCCTATAAACTCTAGTGAAGTTACAAGGATTCCTGGTAGAAATTCTGTTCAACTGCTCCGTACTGATCCCAGCAAACTCTAGTAAATTCCCTGCTCCGTGGCATGCCTCGCTGCCATCATTCTTGATATACACGTAAGTTTTCCCACGTATGAAATCCACTGTGATTTTGCCAGATTGCTTGAACAACTCAGGAGGAATTGACCCATTTAGGAAATTTGTATTTAGATCTAACCATATCAAACTGCGACAATCACCAAGTTCAGGTGGAATCCTCCCAGAGAATGAGTTATTGCTCAGTTTCAGGATTGCAAGATTGGAAAGCTGGCCAATCCAAGCAGGAATCTCCCCGCTCAATCTGTTATTAGACAGGGAGATCCAATTCAAGGCAGTGCAGTTTCTTAAACCAGAAGGAATGTTCCCTGTGAGCTCATTGAAGTCCAAAAGCAAATTCTCAAGGGTCTTAATGTACATGAGCTCTTGTGGTATTTCGCCTTGAAGCTGATTTAGCCACATGATCAAATCACGAAGCTTCGAAAGAGACCCCAGGCTGGAAGGGATAGTCCCCTTCAGGTAGTTGACACTTAAATCCAATGACAGAAGCTGAGAACAGTTGCTGAGTGTGGGTGGAATCAAACCCGTGAGCACATTATTCTGCAGGTATAGTTCTTTCAAATTGTTCCTAGGATCTTGACATAGCCCTCCAGGTATTGACCCGGATAAGTTATTGGAACTCAAATCCAAAGTTTCCAAGCTGGTGAGCTTCGACAGATTATCCGGCAAATTACCGACTAAATCATTGGATGAAAGAACTAGCTTCTTCAAGCTGCTCATCTCCACAAAAATTTCAATTGGTAACTCACCGGAAAACTTGTTTTTACATATATCAAACAATTCCAGCGAAGAACAGGCGCTAAAACCGCGCGGAATCGTACCAGAAAGGGAGTTCGAGGAAAGATCGAGCTCCACGAGAGTGGTGCACAAATCCGTCAGTTGTTCCGGAATCTGACCATGGAACTTGTTGCCTGCGAGATAAAGGAACTGCAAAGAGTCCACAGGAAGTGACGGAACCGGACCAGAGAACTCGTTGCTTGAAACGTTGAGGTGGCTGAGCTTCTTGCAGGAAGAGAGAGCGAGGCCAATGTCGCCGAAATACTTGTTAGCAGAGATATCAAGGTACTCCAACGCCGAACATTCACCGAACGAAGGAATAGCAACAGAGAAATTATTCGCAGAAAGGTCCAAATGCTGCAATTTCTGGCACTTTGAGAAATTGATTTCTCCGGCGATTTTGTTCCCTCTCAGAGCCAACACTTGCATATCGTCGCAACCTGGAGATAAGATCCAAGGGAGAACATTTGGACCGGAAATATTATTATTAAAAGAGATATCCAGCACTTGGAGATTGAGCCTCAAGCCCGTGGAATCTTTCCCAGAAAACTCAAAAGCATTATTCGAAAGGTTGAGAGATTTCAAACTTGAACAGGAGCTCAGATAGGATATGTCCGAAACAGAACCTGACAATCCGTTCTGAGATAGATCTATACTGCTCAATGAGGCACCACACTTGAACGCATGTGGAAGCACAGAAATGCTACCAGTAAGATTGGTGCGCTTGAGGTTGAGAGCTTCCAGGCGGTCGAGTGAGAGAAGATAGGCAGAGACAACACTGAAGTTTGTCCCCAGAGAGACGGAGCTGAGGTCTATGGAATAAGCCCCGGGTTGCTTGCAGGAAATCCCAGTGAAAGAACATGGGTTTTGATTAGGAAGCCAGTCTTTGAGTACGGATTGGTCCGGGAGAGAAGCCTTGAAGCTGATCAATTGTTGAGCAGAATCTCTGAAAGCTGAAAAAGCAGAGGATGAAGTAGGAGATTGGAGAGAGAAAGCGGCGAGGGAGAAGAATATGAAGAAAGAGAAGTAACAGCTAGTGGGGGACTTAGGTTTCATTGTGGCTGAGGCTTCGAGAGAAGAAGATGGATTGGGTGGCTTTCTTATGGTATGAGGTCTGCCATTAGAGGAGGAGCTTTGGAGCTCTGGTTTCAGCTCAGAAACAAACAAGAGAGAGAGAGAGAGAGTCAAAAGCCGTAAGAGGGAAGGGAAGAAGGGTATTTATCAAGTCCAAGAGAAGACACAGCTGGTGCTCACATGCCATGTGCCTCTCTCTAAATTTTTATATTTCTTTTATTAAATTTCAGTTCAACTAAATTACTGCCTCTTTAGTGATCGTTACTTTAAAAGAATTACAGACCCCTGCTGTCTTATTTATATTTTATAAATAATTTTCTTAAGCTCTCATTAATTCCCTCCAATCCCATTTAAAGAGAAGCTTGCACGCAACCACGCAACTCAACTTTGAGCGGGGTTTGCTACCATTGTCACCGGTAAAAAATTTTATACCAGCTTGATATCACAGCAGTAAGAAAAGTTAGATTTGACCTTAAATACTATTGATCTTATTTACATGATACTTTTAGTATATTTTATATAGATTAAGAAAAATCTTAAATTTTATTAACTATAATTTAAAATTTAATTGAATGACTTTTTAACTTTATCCCTATTTAAAATATATTATACCTCATGTAAACAAAATCAACACCATAATAAATTAGGGGTAAAATTGTATATCCATGCAAAATATTTCTCTCGGTATCTTATAAATAGGACTAAAATTTTTTTCTTCTATCTTTGCCCTATAAATAGGAGCAGAGAAGCACCAAATAATATTCGAAAATCTTAGTTGAAATAGACTATTTAGTCTATTACTATTAATAGAGATATTTTTAAAAATCTTATACTACCAAAAAATAAAATAGACTAAAAAAACTCCTTTTTTTTTTTTAGGGGTGGGGATAGGGAAGATGAGAATCTGAGACTGTGGATATGAAGCTGACAAAGGGAGGGGCAGCGGAGGCAGAGGGCGAAGCAGAGCCAGGTAATGAGAAAAAAGAGACGGTTATTTTGTTTTACTTTTTCCCTCATAATATGCACAAAAGTTTATAAATTTATAATTTTCTTTCATTATTATCAATGATGGTTCATGTTATAACAACGACAACTCCAATAAATCTCTTCTAAATTTTTCTCTGGACTCTCACTTCAACCCTCACATTATTTACGTCTTCCCGCTTCCATAACTGTCACTCTCCCCACGTTTGACGATTATTGGCCTCACTCTTATTCCCTCTCAAACCCAAAATTTCTTTCTATTTAATTCATTTTATATTCAAATTTGTGATTTAGTATTCGTCTAGTTCAATCTACAAGGTAGAGGAGTATTTTTGTGTGTGTTTAATATTGCTTTAGTTATTAATGTAAGATATAATTAACTAATTTGAATATATTAAAAATAATAATTGAATTAGTTAATGTAATACTACTTCCGGTCTTAATTATAAGAGCTAGTTAACTAATTTAAAAAGAGACTAGGAAAGAAATTAAGTTAGTTATTTATAACAAATATGTGTTATCTTTCCTGAAACATCCTTACTAATTAAGTGTATTGGCTAAAACCATTATTGTTAGAAAGATTATTTCAAGAAAAAAAATGCATAAACATAAGAGACAAAATGGATTGGGGTCTTATATTTAGGACCAAAATAAAAGTCAAACAGGATCTTATATTGAAGACCGAAGGTAGTATATTTTTTTCTTAAAACATTCTTATCATCTTCCTTAATTCACTCCCTCCCTCGCATACTTAATTATTGTTGAGAAAATATCAATAGAGTTAATTTGAGGGGAAAAATTGATAAACATGTGAAATAAGTTTTACATATGGGATCAACATCAACTCTCAAATTAATCTTACATTAAGGACCAGAAGAGTATAAGGAACATCATTAAATTTAGAGTTATATTTCATCCAACACTATGGAATACTATTCTACATACATTCAACATCTTAAAGGATTTTTTAAGTGCATTTAACATCTTAAATACCTTAACCCAAACCATAAATTAAAGTGTTGGATAAACTATAAAATACTTTAAGGTGTTAAACACGTGTGGAAATATATTTTAAATTATTGAGTTAACCTTATTCCTTAAACTTATCATATCAGTGTATGCTTTTATTCCTCATTTGTGGTTCTTAAAATCATTATTTATTTAGAAAGTATATATAGAAGAGTAGATGTAAGGTTGAAGTGTCCTACTTTTAAACAGGATCAGACGAGTGTAACATTCTTTAACCTTTTCATGATAATGATATTGATATCTTTAAAGTATAATTGAAGATATGAATTTTTCATTTGAATTTAAATTTTTTATTATCTATTTATATGAGAGAAACAATAGCTAGTAAGGTAATTAGATTGGGATCTTTTTTTTTTTTTGGGAAATCAATTGTGATAATTTTAAGTACTGTATTATTAGAATCTTTAAGAAGCTACTATATTATTTGTCATATGTGAATAACATAATTTTCTAATAATATTTATTTTCTATCTGCTTAGTAATTTTTTTATTAAACTATATATAAAAGGCAGAAGCTTTCATATGGGTTTTTAAATTGAAATATTTTAAATTAATTCCATTCTTCACCGGACGTGTATATATACTAATGCCGAGCAAAAGTGCTGCAGAGCCAAATGATTTGTGTGTGGTTCCCATTCATATTCAGTTATTCTGCATTTCTGCAAAGCTGACCGTCAATTTCTTCCGTTGGTGAAAAATAAAAATAAAAATAAAAATAAACAACCGTTAGCTCCTTCATTTAAGGTCTACTATGTATTTTCATTTTTGGGCCAATAAAACATTGGCCACGTGTCGCTATAAATATTTGTGGCAAAAGCCCTAAATGTACGGTTTAAAAAAAATCTAGTAATGAATTTCACTCATGTGTCATGCAGAGAGGCTGACGTGGCTGTCAGTCTGTCGCTATGTCTCTTCAAACGCCCTTTACATATCTGAGAAGAAAGATTTATTTGTAAATTACCTGCGAGGAAAGATGTATAAGTAAATTACGATAGTTTCCATTTTTTCGGTTAATCTGTATAAAAAATTAAAAAATTTAATATATTATATTAAAGTATTTATATTTATTATTTTTTAAATTTAATTATTATTTTTATAAATGATACTCCTCCGGTCCTAATTATAAGACCCAATTGACTTATTTGAGGAGATTAAGGAAGTAAGTTAAGTTGGTTATTTATAATAAATAAGTGTTGTCATTCCTAAAATATCCTTACTAATTAAGTATATTGGCTAAAACTATCATTATTAGAAGGATTATCTTGAAAAAAAATGCATAAATATAAGAGACAAAATGGATTGGGTCTTATAATTAGGACCAAATAAAAAGTCAAATTGGGTCTTATAATAAGGACCGGAGGAGTATATAATTTAATTATACATGTAAATATTTTAGAGAAACTATATAACATATATTACTAAGTAATTTACAAATCAATTGAGTCTTATGAGAAGAATAAAAAATAATATTATTTTGAAATAAAAATTGTTTTAAACATAATATTAATTTATTAATATATTTTTCAATTTTTAATTTAGGGAAAATCATATTGGAGGTACCCATATTTTCTCTCAATTTTTAATTTGGTACCTATGAGTTTTTGGTTCTTAACTAAATCTTTAATTTTGCTCTATTAACACCATTAATCCTTATGTAGAAATTAAAAATATCAATAGAACAAAGTCATAAGAGCTAATGTTGCTAAAAAGATAAAATTAAATGTTTAATTAAAGGGAAAAAAACACATAGGTACCAAATTAAAAATTGAGAGAAAGTATAGGTACCTCCAATATGGTTTTCCCTTTAATTTATTATGTATATACTTTTTAAATTAAACCTCTAACTTTGCGGGAATCTTTGGCTCTTGAGAGATATAACTATGTTAACATGCAAAATTATAAAGGCTAATAATACTAATAAGGTAAAATTATAAAATTTAATTTAAAAACACATAATTATGAAATTAAAAACTGAAAAAAAAAGAATACATTCCCACAAACTGATTATTCTTCATTGTGAATATCTGATTCTAAATTTTTAATTGAATTTGTAAGAAGTGTTTGATTTAATTTATTTTAAATAATTTCATGTTGTATGGGATAAACATATGAAAAAATTATTAAAAGTGATTTTTCAAAGGGATGTCAAACACCAACAACATTCAACATTACTGTCATATTTTTTATACCAACAAAAATTAATGTTTTCTTTAATTTTTATAAAAATGAATGAATAGTTTAATTATTAAAATAAAAAACATAGTCAAAGCAATGAAAAAAAAAGATATAACTATGCTAAAGATGTAAATTTATATCTAAAAATATTTTCAGTAAATGTTAGACTATATATTTAATGAAGATCATTGAACGGTGAGTATTAAAAAAATAAGTAAATGCATAATACTTAAGATTGGAATCATCAGAGTACTGCCAAAATCCTATCATGAATACTTAAATAATGATATTTAATCGATATAACTATTATTCTAATTTTTTATATTATTTTTCTTAAATATTTCTTTTATTGATTGTTTATTTTTACCAGAGATTGTTGTAATTTATTATGCCATCCATTTTATAATGCTTGTGAAATCACTTACTAGCATTAAAATGACATACATGCAAAGCACAAGCCAGTGTCTTATGCTAAACTGAACATATATACAAGAGTTTGTTAAGGAATTTATTTTGGCCATAAATGAACCATTTTAATCCCCTTTATTTTTTATATTTATTAGTATTTTACCAATATATAGTCCTATAATTAAATTCTTGAATGATTTATATTGATAACATTCCTGTGTAAATTATTTAAATGGAAGGTAGTTCTAGGAAAACTAACATGATTTTTATAAATAACTAGCGCATCTATTTTTTTATATATCTAATTTTATTAATTTATAAGAATTAATTAATTAACTCCTATATTTATGACTAAAAGACGTACTAATCCCTACCTTTCTAAATATATATAACATTAATTTAATTAATTTAAGCTTATTAATAAAATTAGTTAAATTAATTATTTATTATTATTATTATTTAAAATTATGTGTCACTTTTTTCTCGGTGGAAGATAAAAAG